GTCAGTAAAGATGTGAAAAGACTCCAAAGATGAAAAGGTAACTATGGAATAGTAAAGAAAGAATGCGGTAAAAAGGTGAAATGAATGAGATTGCATTTATTCAGATCCTACAGATATGATACGACTGCAGAACATTATGTAAGCATGACGTCGGGGAGAGGCAGTAAGGGTTATGCACTAGATGATACTGATAAATAAGTGAGAATGAACACTCGATACATAAGGAACCTGTGCGAGAGGTAAGTTAAGACAAAGCACATAACCTAAGAGGGGTTACACAGAATGTAGATATGAGAATAGACCAACGAGTAGTCTGTAGTTGATTCAGGAAGAGCCTAGTTATGGCTAGACAAGAGGTCATAGACAAATCAGCAGATCATGCAAGATAAACGTAGTGAACCCCAGCATAGGGAATTCGGTCTCTTTTATACGAGATCGCAATTGTTGAAAATTTTTCAGATAGGAGATGGGGTAGTTAAAGGTACTGCATAAGTGTTCCAAAAATAAAAAAGAGTGCCACTAGGGAGACATTCAAAATTTTAGTTCAGAGCAACCCTAGAAGCACAAGGGCGCAGAGGTAAGTAACTAAGGATAATTATATGCGAGTAAGAACATCAAAAATTCTTTCAGGTATACGCTGTAATAAGCTTGCAGCTTTACATGAGTCAAAGGGTCTCCCTTAAGTACTACAAAGAAAGACTAGCTGAGGAAATAAGGAAGAAGACTTCAACTTAAGCATAGTGACATAAAGAAGAAATGGTCTTGTAACAACAGTCTCACTACAACATTGTATGTACTCCATAAGAAAGTGGCACCTATCATGGGTAATGAACGGGAAGAATAAAAAAATCAAAAAGGTGATATTTAAGATCATATGAGTAACAAGAAATTCCAGTATTCGTGAGCAAAGAGATAAACCATGTATTCATGCAACAAGTGACAGAATGACTAGGAAAAGTAATTGCTTATGTTTAAAGGCAATTGAGAAGGCACGAAAGGAAATATATGGTGCTAGCAAGTTAAAGGAAGGTTGCGAGTAGTATAAATATATATGTGTAGGTCACAAGCTAAAGTATGGTAGAGTGACAAGGTTTTAGGTAGATGGGAGTAAGGATAAGAAAATATGAGTGAAAAGGTGACAAGAATAGGTAAGGCCTCAGGATTAAGTCTATCAAAACAAGAGAGCTCATGGTTTCGGTAAGTTATAGAAAGCTTAGTATAGATTGAATTAACTCGGAGGAGTCTAAGACTAGGAGCATTTAGGAGAGATGGAATGCTGCCCTGGTACTAGAATAAGGGTGTAATTGCAATAGATAAGATGATGACGTTTAGGCCTTTGATTGAGTAATGATTTTGAGAAAAAAGGATTTCATGAATTGCACTGGATTAGAACCCATATGATGAATCACGTTGGGATGCTATGAAATACGGTTATTGAAGTATAGTATCGTCCCTAGGTGGATCAGGCAAATCACTTCAAATGTTCCCCGATGAGACGTGAGCCCTAGTGACAAGGTATTACGTAAGAGGTTTCAAGTTATTAGTGGTAGATTATAGATCAATATTAAGGTGAATCGACAATAGAGGGGTAGAGGTTCCAAAGTATGGGATGAGATTAGGCCGTCATTGAAAGGATTCCGACCACAAGTCGTGGTGTGAGAAAGAGGCCTAAAGGGGGGAATGCCCTGTCCTTTGAATTTATTCATAGAACAGTTGCCTATATGGAAAGGACAATATTAAAGTATTCATAAAAGCCATAGGTTATGAGACTGATAGGCGCACCAGCCAACATTCGAGGACGAATGTTCCAAAGGGGGGAATGATGTTACACTCCATATTTTCGTACGTGAGAGTACATCATAAGTTAATTGATGTAAGCTCAGAAATGAGATCATCTTTGAAAGTACATAAAGTAGGTCAATCATGTTACCTTGGAGGTTACAAGTCTTTAAGATCTTGGATAACAACTACCAAGAAGGTTGAAAGGCTTAGGAGCTAAGCAAATTGAAGAAAATAAGTTTCGTCGAATGTCGACAAGTTGGGAATGTTATAACATGTACTTTCGGGGTGATACTAGGGTTCTTAATGTGATAAGGAGGTTATGTTATGAGTTATTTTAGTCTTATGATAGTCGTGTGTTACATTTTGAAGTCAAGCGAGTTTTGGACCAAAAGTTGGTAAAGGTCATCACAAGTTACATTCATAATGTGTTGAATATTAGGTCAAATATAGTAGAGCTTTTCTCCTAATATACTTGGATTTACAGGATGATCCACATATCAAATTGAAGATATACAAGTCTAGTTTCTAACTCATTAAACCGTTCATCTATACGACATCGGAGTAGAGATATATTTGCAGTTTCGCGATACTGCACAGACTGTATAGGTGATAAGTAGGTGGGTCACTAAAGCTTTTTGAGCAATACCTTTTGTGTGTATGAGGTCTTTTTGGGATATATTATATACCAAATTGAAGATCTTGTAATTTATTCTCCATAGCCTTTAACCGTTCATTCATATGGAATACGGATAAAAAGATATAAGCGTTGGAAGAAGGGCCAATGCGAGGGTGCCAAGTAGCACCTTTTTGTCTTTAAAACAAACGGGATATTTACATCCCTTATCTCGTCTATTTCTCTATTTTTCTAGAGAGCACGGCCAAATAACACCCTTAGACTTACCCTTAATCTCTCTACAAGGGCTTCAAACAAGATTATCATCCCAGGCACGAAATCAATAAGCGATAATATTAAAACGATCCCTACGACGTAAGTATCGCTATATCACCTCTTTTTCTTTGTAGTTTGAGTTTTGGAATGTATTTAATAGTTAATAAAATTCATACTTTCTATATTTAAGCTTTTAAATATCAAGGAAGGTTGATAAATTCGTTTTCTAATAGTTAGAACTCACGAGACGGTGATCGGAAGCTGTGAGTTCGAGTTATTTGACTTGTAGTGGACTGTTTTGTGGGCTGTTTCCTGTTGATTTTGGGCTGTCTATTTTTCTAATATTTAATTTAGTTTTAGAGGAGAAATTTTGTGGAGAAATACCACATAATGGAAAAATGTGGATTAGTCGTTCTTTGTAATATTTTCGGGGTGTTTGACACTACTATAGTTGTCGTTTTGGGTATGAAGTGATTGGGGTGTGTTGGGCTGTTGTAAGCTATATATAACATGGATATTGACTTGAATCCACTGTAGGAGGTAATTATATTGTTTTCTTTCATGTGTTTAAGGTTATCTTGTTGTTGATTAAGTTAAATGGATGGACTAGACATGAACTAGTGAATAACGTTGTTAATTGAGGAAAGTTGGAGTTGTGGATTGTTTTCTTTGTTATAAATATATGGTATAAGTCTGGAATCATTGATGAATGACTTCATTATCATGTTAATGATACTGTTAAGTTAAGTTAAGAAGTCTATAAGGGGTGATATGGGGTATATGGGTTTTAATTGGAGCTTGTCGCTCGTCGTGAAGTAGTTGTGACTTGTTGTTGTTATATGGTGTCTTGTTATTGATAATTATGTATTGATGGATTGCTCTGGTCATTGTTGTTGGTATATGGTATTGGAGGAGGATCTTGTTACAGGGTAGATGCTGCCCAAATTTACATAAACGAGCTACTAGTTTAAGTTGCAGACTTAGCCTTTACTCAACACTGATTTTGAATCTCTTTATGCTATGGTAGATTGAGTTGAGTTGTTTGAAGAATTGATTGGAAGGTATTAAGGACTCAATGGAGTTAAGGTATGTTAAGGCTAGCCATTCGTTCCTTTTAGCATGATCCATATGATACAAACGAAACGTACAAACGCAGAACTTTCATAAATTACTCTATTCATAGAAGTACTAGGGGTGTCTATGTTCTTGATTCTCCATATATCCTATTATTGTATCTTTTGTTCATGGGTATCAGAAAAATATGTAAGTTGCTAAAGTTTATCCGAAGGCATATTGATCTTATGACATTTCGAGAAATCTTACTAACTTACTTCATTATGCATTGCATTTATTTATACATGTACGTTGACCCATGATCAGATGGCGTTATATACGCGTATATTATATGTATATGGGATATGGAAAAAGGTTATGGCGTTATATACGCACCACCACCTGATCAGCTAGTATACATTGATGATTTCGCCCACAATGGTTGAGATGATATGATGGGATGCCCTCAAAGGCTTGATGAAGTTATGTACGCATATACCTATGCATGGTATGGCATTTATCATAGTATTTTGTATCCACAGAGGCTTCGTAGACATAGTGTAAGTTGTATATGGGTGTTGGGAAAGTCAAACTAGCACAGAGGCTTCGTAGACATAGTGTAAGTTGTATATGGGTGTTGGGAAAGTCAAACTAGCACAGAGGCTTCGTAGACATAGTGTAGGTTGTATATGGGTGTTGGGAAAGTCAAACTAGCCTTGTTGTATTTGAATCACTTGTGCACTTTAACTATGATTGTGTCCGTATTTTGAGACTATAAAATAAAGTGACTAATGGTAATGGAATTGGCATTGTTCATGAAATCCACTCAATGTTTAATTAATGTTATAAATGTATCTTCTCTTTATTCATGGGCGAGTTGGGTAGAAGTTATTGTAAAGGCTTGCTTAACCGGGGTATCTTAGTTGAGCGCCGGTTGCGCTCTCCAAGGCCGGGACGTGACATGGAGGATGCCTGAATCCTTTATGCTCCCGTAGGGATAGCTAGTTACCTCCGATGTCTGGTAACCGAAGAAGATCATGCCAAAATGAATGAGGTAGACGCGCCATGCCTGTTCAACGAAGCACAACAAGCACTGAACCTGGTAATTCTTGATAATTCCCGATAATTCTAATATCTCTTATAATGTTTGAATTAATTCTAATATCTCTTCTCGTATTTGTAGACCTCGGTGTTCCACCATGAAACCTTCCTCTGATACCGGAATGAGCTGAGCCAACTCGAGGCTGAAGTCAAAGAGCTTGCTAAGAATAGAGGCATGTATAAGCTTCTCAGTGAACAACTTGAGGGAGAAGTCAAGAACCTCCGAGCCGAGTTGGATGTGGCCCAGAAAGAACACGCCGATCTATTGGAACAGGTAAAAATCTTTGAAGTTAGTGATGATGAGCTAGACACAGTGTCTAACGGTTTGAATCCAAAGGTCCAGAAGAAGATTGATCGGGTCGACCAGCTCCAGGCTGAGATGGATGAAGTCAAAGCTATGGCTGAGGAGTGGAATGGCAAGATGGACCGATTGGCTTCGGAAAAGGAGACTGCCCGAGAGCAGCTGGCCTCGGCGGAGGCCCAACTTCGATCGGTGAAGGAGAAAGCTGAGACCCGATCTCGAAAAATTGAAGACCTCCAGTCTCAACTGGGCCCGGCCGTTGCCGCACGGGATACCTTTGCTAGGGAGCTTGAAGCAGCCAAGTCAGTGGCAGAAATAACTAGGGTCGACACTAAAGAAATGGTGGACCAGTACAAAGCAGATGCTGAGGTAGCTCAGGAACACCTAAATACAATTGTCAAATATGTGAAGTGGCAGTCCCGAAGGAAGGCTCTCGAGGAGGTTCATGCTTGGGGATCCGATTTATCAGCTGAGCTCGAATACCCCGAGGATGAGGAAGATTCTGAATGTTCAGGCGAATCCGAGGACAGGGAAAACCCCGATGGACCCGGTGACTAGGCGGGCTCCGGCGAAGATTAGGCTTCTTAGGTGCCTTGTAAATTTTTCTTGGCTTTTGTACTTTTGCATTTTCTTGAGGCCGTTTGGCCTTTGTAAATTTTTGTATATACAAGGCTTTTTCCCTTCGGCAAATTTTAAGTTTGTTTTGTTTTGCTTTTTCCTTTACGATTGCAAAGATTTTGGATGCCTTAGCACGGAATAATTAGGTCTTGTTCGTAGGTTCAAACAATGTTCGTTCTCGATATTATTTTGCTTAAGACTCGTGGGGGCTTTGTATGACCAAAATCTTTCCCCGAAGTGTTTACTTAGAATTTTTTATAATTTTGCCGAGGGTAGCCTTTGAACCGGTTTAGAAATTTTTAAGGCCTTATGTTTTGGATACGGATCTCGGACGTCTCCGAGCCGTTCTTGGATGGTCTTAGTCCCCGAGCCACTTGGTTTATTACCCCGAGCCACCCAGGCTTTCCTGGGACAACAGTCCCGAAATAGGGATGGCCATAGCCTTTGAAGTTCGGGCACTGCCTAATAGGTTCCCAGGACAACAATCCCAAAATAGGGATGGCCATAGCCTTTGAAGTTCGGGCACTGCCTAATAGGTTTTGTAATATTTTCGAGGGTAGCCCTTGAATACTATTTGGCCCTTATAAAAAATCCTATCCACCGAGCTCAGACTTGTTTGAGAATGAAGTTTCCTTCCTTGCTAAAATCATTTCCCGAGGGTGATGGCCCCCAGTATTCGAGGCCGATCTGTGAGAAGGCTTGGATACAGTTGATGTGAACCTTGACTCCGATTCATAGTCGGTCTTCGATTCTAAGTTAGCACGATCCATTGTTGCCTCGTTAACAACCTTACCAGAAAACCCATTTGGGACAAAACCGGTTCAAGGGGAAAAAAGTACAACGCGTGCTTTCAGGCCTAATAGTTGCATCATCCTTGGTCGTCACCTGCAAGTGGGTTATGTTCTAGTTGTTCGGTAGCCGCTCACTATTCGGCATTTTGAGTTTGTACGATCCTTTTTCGGTGATCTCAATAATTCAATATGGGCCTTCCCAATTCGGTCCCAACTTCCTTTCGTTCGGGTTCTGTAACAACCCGACTTGTCGATTTAAGAATTTATGTCACGTTCAGTGACTTAAGGTCTCGAGCAGCTTCGTAATATGTATTATGACGTTTGATATTCGGAAGATTTAGAATTATATTGAAAGAACAATTCTTATTTAGAAGCTTAAATGGAAAGAGTTGACCGGAGAGTTGACTTTTGAGCAAATGACCCCGTAGTGGAATTTTTATGATGTCAATAGCTTCGTATGGTAATTTCGGACTTAGGCGTATGTTCGGATTTGGATTTGAAAGTTTGTAGGACAATTCGACGCATATTGGCGAAAGTTGAAAAATGGAAGATTTTTGGAAAGTCCGACTGAAGGTTGAATTTTTGATAACGAGGTCGGATTTCGAATCCGAAAATTTAAATAGCTCCATTTCATCATTTATGACTTGTGTGAAAAATTTGAAGTCATTCTGGATTGATTTGATACGTTTCGGCGCAAAATATAGAAGTTGGAAGATTTGAAAACTCATAATTTGATTCGATACACGATTCATAATTTCGACATTGTTTGACATGGTTTGAAGCCTGGACTAAGTTCAGATTGTATTTTGGGATGTGTTGGTATATTTGGTTGAGGTTCCGAGGGCCTCAGGTGGATTACGGATGGTTAACAGATCAATTCGGACTTGAAAAAAAGTTGCTGGAATTTCTGGGCAGCAGCTCATGCTTTCGCTTTTGCGAAAGTTTCATCGCAGAAGCGAGGAAATTGTCGCAGAAGCAACTGGAAAGAGAGATGGACAGAGGCTGGCTTGAACTCGCAGAAACGGACATTTCTGCGCAATCGCAGAAGCGCAAGTAAGAACGCAGAAGCAAAGCTGGCAACTTACTGGTTTTTTTCGCATAAGCATGAATAGAGCTCGTAGAAGCGTGAATAGTGCTCGCAGAAGTATGAACAGCACTTGCAGAAGTGTGAACAATGCCCGCAGAAGCGTGAACAGTGCCCCGCAGGTGCGAAACTGGGCAGCAACATAAGGACCAAAAATCAGTCACTTTGTCATTTTCGATTGAGATTTTGGAGCTCTGTTTTTGGGCGATTTTGGAGGAGTTCTTCACGACTTTGACTTGGGGGTAAGTGTCTTATATCCTAAAGTGTTTATATTTCATGAATCTATGATTATATTGATAGTTTAATTCGGATTTTAATGGAAGAAATCTAGATTTTGGCAAAATCTTTCAAAAACAAAAATTTAAGATTTGGAGGTCGAGTTGTTATCGGAATTGGATAAAATTGGTATGGTTGAACTCGTATTGGAATGGGTGTTCGAATTTCATGAAAATTATGTCGGGTTCCAAGGGGCGGGCTCCGTGTTGACTTTTTGGAATAAATTTTTAAGTCGACACATTATTATCCGGAATTATTTTCCATAAATTTTAATGAAGTTATACAATTAATTTGGATAGATTTTAGTGGTCCGGAGGTCAATTTAAGCAAGAAAGCGATTTTGAAATATCGGCATAACTTCAAAAATATAAGTATCTTGCCTAATCTTACAACAACAACAACAACAACAACAACCCAGTATAATCCCACTAGTGGGGTCTGGGGAGGGTAGTGTATACGCAGACCTTACCCCTACCCTGAGGTAGAGAGGCTGTTTCCAAATGACCCTCGGCATCCTTCCCTCCAAGAACTCCCCACCATGCTCTTGGGGTGACTCGAACTCATAACCTCTTGGTTGGAAGTGGAGGGTGCTTACCATCTTGAGTGGGGAAATTAACCCTTAGGCATCGAATCTTATTTGTCATTTGTGAAATATGAAAAAGCCGTGTACGCGAGGTGACGAGTACGTACTCAGGCTTACATGTGCAAAATTTATTGAGTTAAAGTCTTGGGCACATTGTGTAGTAAATTGGATAAGTGTTGGCATTTATTTAATCATCTATTTGCCATGCCTAAATTCGTATTTGTTGAATTTGTTTTTATATGACAATTTGATGTTATTATTACTTGTATATTTATGTGAATTCCGTGAGTTTGATGGTTGGATATTTCTTGGAATTTAATTTCATTATGAATTTGTCCTCTGCAAATAATTAATTAAACAAGCTTAAGAAGAAAGTGTTGTCATATGCGGATTTATTTTTCTATCTCTTTTGTTGTTTGAGGTTTTATATACATTGTGTGGAGCCTTGGGCTATTTGTTATGAAATTAATTGATTTTGTTTTATCCTTGGAATTGGTTGTGGCCATTGGGCAAATTGTGATATGAATTGATTTTTTTGTTATGTTGTTGTGATAATATTCCGTGTTAATTGTTGTGTTATTTGAATTATTATTATTCTGAGGATATAAGGGTGGCATTCCACTATTGATATTATGCGGGTATAAGGGAGGCGGTTCACTGTTGTTATGTGTGTTGGGACATTATCTGGGCGGAGCGATAAGGGTGGATATAGGAGAGATAAGGGTTGCTATAGGAGCGATAAGTGTGACTATTGATATTGTCAGGACGGGAGGATAATGGATGCTATTATAGGAGTGATAAGGGTGGTTATAGGAGAGATAAGGGTGGCTATTGTCAGGGATGATATGTGATGATGTGGAGTTATTGTGTTGGTAATTTTCATGTGATGTTGGGGTATTGCTTGTGTTTAGTTTTACATCTTGTGCAACTTATCTTGTTGTTTCTTTAAACTTGATAATAGCATGATTAATGTTGAAATTGTGAGCTTGTGGCTATTACCGGGTAGGTAATGTTATATGGGATCGGTTTGCATGTCGCAACGGATATGAAACGTGGGCACGAGGTATCGAAAAAAAAATATGACCGTTTTATTATTGGCACGTGAACTGTCCGTGCAGTTGTTATATGAAAAGTGGGCACGAGGTGCCGGGAAAATATGATGATTTAATTATGGGCATGAAGTGCCGTAAAAATATGAAAGTGGGCTGAGACCCGTATTTACGAAAAATATAAAAAAGGGTTGAGACCCATATTTTTATGATTATGAAATGGGGTGTTACATGGTGACTTTTTAATTGAAAGAATTATATTCAAAATATTTATTTGGAAGGATTTTTATTCAAAAAGATTTATTTGAAAGAATTATATTCGAAAGATATTTATTTGAAGAAATTATAGTTGAGAGAGATTTATTTAAAGGAAGTATATTTGAAAGATATTTATTTGAAGAAATTATAGTTGAGAGAGATTTATTTAAAGGAAGTATATTTGAAAGATATTTATTTGAAGGAATTATATTTGAAAGAGATTTATCCAGAAGAATTATATATGAAAGATATTTATTTGAAGGACTTGATTTAATTGGTTGTACTTGTATTTATTATTCGTTGAGCGATATTAATGGTGTTCTTGTTGCCCTGTTGTGCATATCACTGGTTGATTTGTGTTGCCCTTATTGTTATTTATTTCCTATTATTTTGTATTCTATATTGCACAGGTTATTAGACTAGTGAGTGTCTTGACTGTACCTCATGACTACTCCACTAAGGTTAGTCTTGATACTTACTGGGTACCGACCGTGGTGTATTCATACTACACTTCTGCACATTTTTGTGCAGAGCCAAGTATTGGAGCTATCGAAATCCGGTAAAGTTAAAGTGTGATCGCAAGGATTCAAGGTAGAGCTGCTTGGTCATTGCAGTTCCTTGGAGTAATTTTATTTTATTGTACTGTTATTTATTATTCAAACAGTATTGAGTAATCGATCCTTGAGATCATTTCATGTATTCAGTTAGAGTTCGTGACTCAGTATTACCAGTCATGGGAGGTTGTTGTAACTATTTCCGCTGTTAGTTTCTATTTTTAAAAAAATGGCTTGAAATGGTATTGTAATCGGCTTACCTAGTCTTAGAGACTAAGTTCTATCACGACGCCTGTGGTGGGATATTTTTGGATCGTGAAAAGTTTGTATCAGAGCTATAAGTTCATAGGTTCTACGAGTCATGAACGAGTCTAGTAGAGTCTTGCAGATCGGTACAGAGACATCTCTACTTATCTTCTAGAGGCTACAGAACTGTTAGGAAATTTCCACTTCTTTCATTCCTGTCGTGCGGATTTGTTGATTGTGGAATTTGAGACTTTGTATCTCTATTCTCTCACAGATGGTGAGGACACGCACTACCGGGTCAGCTGAGCAGGCACCACGCATACTGCTAGGGCCTCAAGAGGCCGGGGCCGAGTTAGAGGATGAGTTAGAGGCCGAGGAAGGGCACGTGTCACAATTAGAACATCGGTTAGAGAGGTAGTTGAGGAGCCGCCAGTTGCTCCAATTGGGGGACAGTCACCAGAGACACATGTTGTTACCCCCGGACTTCAAGAGACTTTAGTACAATTCCTAAACATATTTCGTACATTTACTCAGGTGGGATTGATATCCGTTTCACTAAATATTTCACAGGTTGGGGGAGGAGTTCATACTCCTACCGCTCGTATTCCAGAGCAGCGAGTTCACATTGGTCAGGTTCTGGGTGTAGTACCGGTACAACCTGTTATTCCGGTTCATCTTGAGGTCAGGCCAGGGGCATCAGAAGTAGAACAAAAGAGACTTGAGAGATTTAAGAGGTACAGTTCACCTACTTTCAGTGGCACAGCTTCAGAGGATGCCCAAGGATTTTTTAAAAAGTGTCACCATATTCTCCGCACCATGGGTATTGTGGAAGTGAGTGGAGTTGCCTTTACTACATTTCAGTTGTCAGGCGCAGCGTATCAGTGGTGGCAAGTTTACGAAGAAGGTAGACCAGCCGATGCAACACCACTAACTTGGGCTCAATTTTCAAAAATATACGGAGATGCGTGGCGTATAGAGTTTGAATGGTTGCGTCAGGGCACTATGACAGTGTTAGAATATGCTATCAGGTTCAGTGAGTTGGCCCGTCATGCACCTATCTTGGTACCTACAGTCACAGAGCGAGTTCGCAGACTCATTGAGGGGCTCGATTATGATCTTAAAATATGCATGGCTTGAGAGTTGCAAATTGATACTCCATTTCAGCAAGTAGTGGAGATTGCGAGGATGATTGAGGGTATTTTAGGTGAGGAAAGGGAGTATAAGGAGTCCAAAAGGTCTCGAAGCTCTGGAGGGTTCAGTGGATTTTACTCTTCGGCTATGACCCATTATGGTGGAGGCTAGAGCAGTCAGCCAGCTAATTCCGCACATCAGATTACTCGGGGTGCTCCAGTAAGTTCTTATAGTGCACCACCGATACGAGATTCTTACAGTGGTTATTCCAGTTATTCGGCACAGACTCAGTATGAGCAGCCGCGACCTCATAGGGGTTGTTATGAGTGTGGTGATACTAGGCACATTATGAGAGATTATCCCAGACTTGGGAGAGGTAGATTTCATTAGAACACCCAGGCTATGGGCCCCAATGCAATTACTACCCCACGTGCACAACCAGTTAGGGGTGAAGGACATGCGGGTAGAGGGAGCCCTAGAGGGGGAGGCCCAACCCGTTGATATATTTGCTATGGTGTGGCAGGGGCCACTACACCAGATGGTGTCATTATAGGTATGATCCTGCTTTGTTATAAAAGGATATTTTCCCTTAATTTGATTCGGTTCTGAATATTGAGGTGAGTCCTCCTATTATGCTTCGCTTATGGGTAAGCTTCGTAACTCTGTGACCCACTTATATGTTATCTATGTTAGGAAATTTGATGATGATAGCCCGAGTCTATCATTTTTATTTTTGTACACCATTGAGGTCTATAAGTTCAAAAGTAATTTTTATTATTCACTACAGTGGGTTTTGATGTGATTTCAGAATAATTGATTTGAATTTTATGAATTTTATACCCTACCGAGATGAGGGTTCATTATGTGTTGAGAAAATTGTTTACTACATTTATTGAAAAGAAGAAAGAAAGGAAATTAAAAATTTCAATTGACACAATATGCAAAATACTTGTGATTTAGAGTTGAGGACGAGATCCTCGCATTTTTATATATGATGTAAAATATTTAAACCGGGCTACAAGCCGCAGTAGAAGTTATATAAGGATGAGGTCCTTGTAGTGAAAATTTTTATGATTTTAAAATTTTCCCTTTGTGAAATTAAATTTGTACTATAGTATAAATAGGGAGTCATGCCTATTAGGCTTATTTGATAATTCTTGTATATTTTTCTGTGCATATGTAACCATAATTGTGCTGTATATATTGAGTTTTAGCTTATAAGGTGGGTGCCTAGGTGGCGTTAAATGTAACTCGTTAATTTAGGTAAATAATTATGAGTATTCATGCCTCGCGTGTTGCTGTCACCATTACGAAAAGTTGAAATGAGACTTTGGTGAATACGAGATTAATTGAAGATGCTGGAAATTAATTATAAACAGTTATTACGACCAGAGATGTGGTTATGGGAATACGTATGATGTGTGCGTAGGCACGAATTGCTACAACCAATTGAGACTAATACCGTGTGTTTATTCCGAAAATTCAAAATTTATTTGGAGTGTAAGGAATTGGCTTAAAGGCATATAAATGTGAATAAAAGAAATAATTGAGATGATGTTGTCGGACCCTTGTTAAATTTATGGTGTCGTAGAATCACCCGTGAGCATGTGTGAAATAGTGCACTCAGTAATTTAATGTCATCAGAAAGATTCTTGGCATGTTCGAGGACGAACGTACATTTAAGAAGGGGAGAATGTAACGACCCGACTGGTCGATTTAAGAATTTACACACCGTTCAGTGACTTAAGGTATCTAGCAGCTTCGTAATATGTATTATGACCCGCGGGTATGATCGATTTTGATTTTCGAAGATTTAGAATTAAATTGAAAGAACAATTCCTATTTAGAAGCTTAAATGGAAAGAGTTGACCGAAAAATTAACTTTTGAGCAAACGACCCCGGAATGGAATTTTTATGATGTCAATAGCTTCTTATGGTGATTTCGGACTTCAGCATATGTTCGTATTTGGATTTGGAAGTCCCTAGGACAATTCGACGCATTTTGGCGAAAGTTGGAAAATGGAAGATTTTTAGAAAGTCCGACCGAAGGTTGAATTTTTGATAACGAGCTCGGATTTCGATTCCGGAAATTTGAATAGCTCCATCTCATCATTTATGACTTGTGTGCAAAATTTGAAGTCATTCCGGATTGATTTGATACGTTTCGAGGCAAGATTTGAAAACTCATAATTCGATTCGATGCATGATTCGTAATTTCGGCGTTGTTTGACATGGTTTGAAGCCTCGACTAAGTTCGTATTATATTTTGGGACGTGTTGGTATATTTGGTTGAGGTTCCGAGGGCCTTGGATGGATTTCGGAAGGTTAACGGATCAATTCGGACTTAAAGAAAGCTGCTGGAATTTCTGGGCAGCAGCTGATGCTTTCGCTTCTGCGGATGTTTCATCGCAGAAGCGACCTCGCAGAAGCCAGAAAATTGTCCCAAGAGCAACTGGAAAGGGAGCTGGACAGAGGATGGCTTGAACTCGCAGATACGGATATTTCTGCGCACCTGCGTAATCGCAAAAGCGCAAGTAAGAACGCAGAAGCGAAGCTGGCAGCTTGCTGGTTTTTTTCGAAGAAGCGTGAACAATGCTGGCAGAAGCGTGAACAGTGCCCGCAGATGCAAAACTGGGCAGCAACATAAGGACCAAAAATCAGTCACTTTGTCATTTTCAATTGAGATTTTGGAGCTCAGTGTTTGGGAGATTTTGGAGGAGTTCTTCACGAGTTTGACTTGGGTAAGTGTCCTATATCCTAAAGTGTTTATATTTCATGAATCTATGATTATATTCATCGTTTAATTCGGATTTTAATGGAAGAAATCAAGATTTTGGCAAAATCTTTCAAAAACGAAAATTTAAGATTTGACTTTTTGGAATTAACTTTTGTTGACTTTTTGGAATTAATTTTTAAGTCGACGTATTATTATCCGGAATTATTTCCGATGAATTTTAATGAAGTTATACAATTAATTTGGATAGATTTGAGCAGTTCGGAGGTCAATTCAAGCAAGAAGGCGATTTTGGAATATCGGCATAACTGCAAAAAGGTAAGTATCTTGCCTAACCTTGAGTGGGAGAATTACCCCTTAGGCATCGAGTCTTATGTGTCATTTGTGAAATATGAAAAAGCCGTGTACGCGAGGTGACGAGTACGTACTCGGGCTTACATGTGCAAAATTTATTTAGTTAAAGTCTTGAGCATATTGTATAGTAAATTGGATAAGTGTTGGCATTTATTTAATCATCTATTTGCCATGCCTAAATTTCGTGAGTTTGATGGTTGGATATTTCTTGGAATTTAATTTCATTATGGATTTTTCCTCTGCAAATAATTAATTAAACAAGCTTAAGAAGAAAGTGTTGTCCTATGCGGAGTTATTTTTCTATCTCTTTTATTGTTTGAGGTTTTATATACATTGTGTGGAGCCTTGGGCTATTTGTTGTGAAATTAATTGATTTTGTTATATACTTGGAATTGGTTGTGGCCATTGGGCAAATTGTGATATGAATTGATTTTTTTGTTATGTTGCCGTGATAATATTCCGTGTTAATTGTTGCGTTATTTGAATTATTATTATTCTGAGGATATAAGGGTGGCATTCCACTGTTGATATTATGCGGGTATAAGGGAGGCGATTCACTGTTGTTATGTGTGTTGGGACATTGTATGGGCGGAGTGATAAGGGTGGATATAGGAGAGATAAGGGTTGCTATGGGAGCGATAAGGGTGGCTATTGATATTGTCAGGACGGAGGGATAAGGGAGGTATTATAGGAGTGATAAGGGTGGCTATTGGAGAGATAAGGGTGGCTATTGTCAGGGATGATATGTGATGATGTGGAGTTATTGTGTTGGTAATTTTCATGTGATGTTGGGGTATTCCTTGTGTTTATTTTTACATCTTAAGCAACTTGTCTTGTTGTTTCTGTAAACTTGATAATAGCCTGATATATGTTGAAATTGTGAGCCTGTGGCTATTGCCGGGCAGGTAACGTTATATGGGATCGGGTTGCATGCCGCAACGGATATGAAACGTGGGCACGAGGTGCAGGGAAAAAAATATGATGGTTTTATTATGCAACTGTAATATGAATAGTGGGCACGAGGTGTCGGAAAAATATGATGATTAAATTATGGGCATAAAGTGCCGTGAAAATATGAAAGTGGACTGAGACCCGTATTTACGAAAAATATGAAAAAGGGTTGTGACCCGTATTTTTATGATTATGAAATGGGGTGTTACATGGTGACTTTTTAATTGAAAGAATTATATTCAAAATATTTATTTGGAAGGATTTTTATTCAAAAAGATTTATTTGAAAGAATTATATTCGAAAGATATTTATTTGAAGAAATTATATTTGAGAGAGATTTATTTAAAGGGAGTATATTTGAAAGATATTTATTTGAAAGAATTATATTTGAAAGAGATTTATCCGGAAGAATTATATGTGAAAGATATTTATTTGAAGGACTTGATTTAATTGAGCTATCGGACTCGGACAGAGTTAAATTGTGATCGCAAGGATTCAAGGTAGAGCTACTTGGTCATCGCAGTTCCTTGGAGTATTTCCATTTTATTGTACTTTTAATTATTATCAAACAGTATTGAGTATTCGATCCTTGAGATCATTTCATGTATTCAGTTAGAGTTCGTGACTCAGTATTACCAGTCTTGGGAGGTTGTTGTAACTATTTCTGATGTTAGTTTCTATTTTAAAAAAATGGCTTGAAATATAATTGTAATCGGCTTGCCTAGTCTTAGAGACTAAGTGCCATCACGACGCCTGTGGTGGGATTTATTTGGGCCGTGATAGGTTCCGGGTGTTCAGTGTCACCATTCTTAATATTAAGTCCCCGACATTGAAGTGTCGAAGGTTAGCTCTCCGATTGTAATATCTTTTGATCCGTTGCTTTTGGGCGGCCAACCGGACAAGGACGGTCTCGCGCCTTTCATCTAACAATTCCAGGTTTGTATTCATGGCCTCGTTGTTTGACTCTACGGTCGCATATCAGAACATGAGACTCGGTTCTACTTCTTAGACCGGAATAAGAGCTTCGGCACCATAAACCAAGGAGAACGGGGTGGCCCCGGTACTGGATTTTGAGGCCGTACGATATGCCCATAGGACTTCGGGCAAGATTACCTTCCATTTCCCTTTGGCGTCGGTTAACCTCTTTTTGAGGTTTTGGAGTATGGTTTTGTTTGTGGACTCTGCCTGCCCGTTTTCACTAGGATGATTGGGCGTTGATAGGATCCTTTTGATCTTATGGTCCTTAAAACACTTTCTCACCTTGGTGCCGATGAACTGCTTCCCATTGTCGCACACGATCTCGGCAGCATTCTAAATCGGCATATCATGTGGTCCCAAATGAAATCAATAACCTCCTTCTCCCTGACTTTCTCAAATACCTGGGCTTCCACCCACTTAGAAAAATAATCAGTCATAAATAAGATAAATTGAGCCTTACCGGACGCCCAAGGCAGGGGACCAATGATGTCCATTCCCCATTTCAAGAACGGACAGGCTGACAAGGCCGAATGCAGCGGTTCCCCGGGCTGATAGATCATCAGAGCATGCCTCTGACATTCGTCACATTTTCGCACGAACTCTTTTGCGTCTTTTTCCAAGTCAATTCAGTAGTAGACAGATCTGATTATCTTCCGAACTAATGACTCGGCGCTTGAATGGTTCCCGCAGGTGCCCTCGTGGACTTCCCTTAAAACATACTTGGTGTCTCCTGGTCCCAGACATATGGCAAGTGGTCCATTGAATGCTCTTCTGAATAGGGTACCGTCTTCGGACAAGCTGAACCAGGACGCCTTCGTATGTAGACCTCTCGATTCTTTAGGATCCGAGGGAAGTTTTTTGGTCTTCAGGTAATCTATGTATTTGTTTCTCCAGTCCCAGGTTAAGCTTGTCGAATTTATCTCGGCATGGCCTTCCACCACTATCGATTTCATGAGTTGTACGACCGTTCCCGAGTTGAATTCATCATCGTCGACCGACTATCCTAAGTTAGCAAGAGCATCGGCCTTGCTGTTTTGATCCCGAGATACATGTTGCAAAGTCCATTCCCTGAATCGATGTAACGTTACCTGTGGCTTATCCAATTATCTTCGCATTCATTCTTTTTTGACTTCGAGACTTGGTTCACCACTAGGAGGGAATCACACTTAGCTTCGACAACCTCGGCCCCCACGCTTTTAGCAGTTCAAGAGCTGCAATCATGGCCTCATACGCATCCTCGTTGTTAGTCAATTTTATAGTTCTAATAGATTCCCTAACTACATTACCTATAGGTGGTTTCAACACGATGCCAAGTCCGGAACCCTTTGCATTCGAGGCACCATCTATAAAGAGGTTCCAGATTCTGGAAGAGGTCCCCGAGTTCAACAACAACTCCTTCTCGACCTCAAGAATTAGGGCCGGCGTGAAGTCGGCCACGAAGTCCGCCAAAATTTGAGATTTGATGGCGGTTCGGGTTCGATATTCGATGTTGTACCCGCTGATATCCATGGACCATTTTGCCAATCATCCCGAGAGCTCGGGCTTATGCATTATGTTCTTAAGGGGTAAGTAGTCACTACACATACGGGATGGCATTGGAAATATAGTTTTAGCTTCCTAGAGGCGCTTAGCAATGCGAGTGCCAAGTTTTCTAGGTGAGGATATCTAGTTTCGGCCTCTCCTAGAGTTGTGCTAACATAATAGATAGGAAATTGCGTATCTTCCTCTTCCCGGACTAGGAATCCACTTACCGCTACCTCAGATACAGCTAAGTACAAGTACAATTGTCCATCTGCTTTCGGAGTATGACGCAAATGTGGGACAGAGAGGTACCACTTGAGTTCCTCCAGGACTTGGTTGCATTCCGGGGTCCATGAGAAGTTATTCTTCTTCTTCAACAGTGAAAAGAATCGATGGCTCTTGTCGGAGGACCTCGAGAAGAATCGACCCAAAGCTGTTATACGCCCGGTTAACCTTTAAATGGACTTGACATTATCCACAACGGTGATGTCATCGATGGCCTTGATTTTATTGGGATTAATCTCGATTCCCTGGTTGGACACCATGAATCCAAGGAATTTCCCGGACCCAACTCCGAATGCGCATTTCTCCGGGTTCAACTTCATATTGTATTTCTTCAATATGTTGAAGGTTTCCTACAAATGTTTCAAATGGTCCTCTGCTCGCAGGGACTTAACCAACATATCGTCAATGTAAACCTCCATTAATTTTCCTATTTTCTCTTCGAACATCTGATTTACTAGGCGTTGGTAATTGGCACCAGAATATTTTAGTCCGAATGGCATTACGTTATAGCAATAGGTACCATATTTGGTGATGAAGGACATTTTTTCTTGGTCGTCCGGGTCCATCCGAATTTTGTTATACCCGGAGTAGGCGTTGAGAAAACTGAGGACCTCGTGGCCGGTCGTTGCATCGATCATGCGATCGATGTTTGGCAGAGGATAAGAGTCCTTGGGGAATGCCTTGTTCAAGTCTTTATAGTCTACACACATTCTTAATTTATTCCCCTTTTTAGGGACTACTACTACGTTTGCTAACCAAACCGGGCACTTAACCTCCCAGATGGACCCTATTTTTAGGAGTTTAGATATCTCGTCCTTGATGAA